TCATGGAGCAACGGGATGACATCAGGGCGCGCAACCCTAACGACCCCCGGCTCCCCGAACTCAACCTAGAAATCACCACTTCAATACAAGCCCATGCCAGGAATACCTGGCGGACACATCTCGCCTCGTGCAACAGGCGAACTCACCAGTCAAAACACTGGAACCTTCTCCGCTCACTATCCGGAAAACTTAGCCGCCCTCCACCAAACCAGCCAATCCAATTCGGTCAGATCCCCCTCTCGTCGCAGCGCAAGATCTCCTCCGCCTTTTGCAAACTATTCACCTCCATCGCTCCGCACCGCCAAAACCCATCCACCCGCCGCCTTATGCGTCGAATCTGGGCTGAGCACCCCTTGGACAGGGACTTTGCCCCTTTCACCCCTAACATGGTGAAACTCGCCATCAGAGCCGCTAACAATTCTTCCGCTCGGGGTCCGGATGGCCTCACGGTTCTCCACCTCAAACACCTTGGCCCGGTGGCCTCCAGTTCCTTACCCACATCTTTAATATCTCTGTCGTCACGGCCTCCATTCCATCTATATGGAAAAACTCAATAATTATCCCGTTACTAAAACCAGGTAAACCTGGTAACCAGGGTTCCTCGTACGCCCCATCTCCCTCCTTTGTCCAGCGGTCAAGATCCTGGAACGCCTTCTACTCCCATACATCTCTGATTCTCTCATCACGGTTTCTTCGCAACATGGCTTTAAACCAGGACACTCGACAGTTACCGCCCTCCTCCCGCTCGCGCACCAGATTGCGACGGGCTTCAATTCACGCCGTCCCCCTGCACGTACAGTGGCAGCTGCGGTCAACCTATCGAAAGCTTTCGATAGTGTCGGCCACCCTCTTCTCCTTAGCATGATCGCGGCCTCAGACCTACATCATAATCTGGTCCGCTGGCTGTGCTGTTACCTTAGAGGCAGGATGGCTTCCTACCTCTATCTGAGAACAAGGTCCCCCTTCAGAACTATCCATTCTGGAGTCCCCCAAGGGTCGGTCATTTCACCAGCCCTATTCAACTACTTCATCTCGGACATACCTGTTCCGACCTCTAACATCGCCTCATATGCAGATGATCTTACTATTTTTGTGTCGTCCCCGAGACTCGACGCCGCGGAGTCTGACCTCTCTGAGCTTCTCCGGGGCGTCTCAGACTGGTCGACCGCCAAGAAACTGGCCGTGGCTCCAAGGAAATCCCCAGTCACGCTCTTCACCCCCGACACTCACCAATCCCGTCTTCACCCCTCTGCAACAATCTGCAATGGCATCATCCCCTTGCACAAAACCCGCAAAATCTTGGGGGTCACTTGGGATACCCATTTTACGTTCTCTCCTCATGTCAGAGCCATAGCCACCAAAGCAACAGGCTCCTTACGCATCTTAAAAGCCCTGGCCGGCACCAACTGGGGCTTCTCCAAGGAAGACATCATTGCCACATACCGGACAATTACTCGCCCAATCCTCAATTATGCTGCCCCCATCTGGTACCCAGTCGCCTCACGCACCGCAATTGCAAGTCTCCAAATCATCCAAAACTCAGCCTTGAGACTAGCCTCCGGCTGCCTCAAGATGGCCCCAATCGCCCATCTCCACCTTGAGGCCGGCGTCCTCCCCCTGTCCGCCCACCTGGACCTGGCCTGTGCTCAATTTCTCGCCAGCGCACTCCAGCCTACTCATGCTTCTTTCAGCATCGTCTCCGCTCCCCCCGGAGACCGCCCCATGAAACCTTCACTCAAGACAAGATTCGGCCACCTTGTGGCGCCTTTCCTCGCTGACGGCATGATGCCCGACGGTGCCTATGGAGAGGCAAAACGCTCCCTCCCTAGGGAGATAGCCACCCGTGTTGCGGCGACGACCGTAAACAACGCTGTCCTCACAGCCCCACCACCACCGATTGCAGCAGAAGAAGCCTCGCTCCCTCGCCCTTACCGTTCCGCGCTATCCAGCTACGCTCGGGATACTGCAGCTCCCTGGCGTCCTACACCCACAGGGTCGGACGCTCCCTTAGCGCCGCTTGCCCGGACTGCGGGGATCCCCTCCAATCCGTCCAGCACCTCTTTGCCTGCCATGCCTTCCCCACGCCCCTCAGCGTCTCATCATTGTGGGACAACCCCGAGGAGGCGTCGACGTTCCTTGCCACCCTCCCTGCTTTCGCCCACCTTCCACCTCTTCCGGTGCTGCCCCCCGACCGCCACCAGAGCCTCCGCCCACGCGAGCGTGACGTTTGGCGCAAGAAACAACAACAACAACCAGGCTTGCAGACACTGCCAGCTTTCGCACAATCGCGAAGGTGGTTGCCGCGACTGGCGGGACCGCTGCGCAAAATTCCCGCCGTCTAAGGGTGGCTGAACGTGAATTTCGAGCAAAAGAAATCCCCACGCCCTCCACTATATATAGCTCCCTTACTTTCTGGAGCTATATATAATAATTGTGGAGAACATTGGGAATTATATAATAAGGTACACCGACACAATTATAAAGCGACTTTTAATGCTGTCATTCTGAGGTATGAAATAGGCACATGTAAAACAAATTTTGACAGAAATAAAAAGATTTGTTCGGGCCGTTTATTAAACCCTTAAGTGCACATTTAAACTACATGACATTTTTTAGGTTAATTGAAACCAGAGAACAAATTCCAAACTATTTGGTATGCCTCAAATAGTTCCACTCTCGTATCATTGATACAGCACGCACGCCATACGTAAATTCCAGTCTCGTATCGTGGATACAACACGCATGCCTCACGTAGGTTCCAGTTTCGTGTCATTGATACAACACGCATGCCTCACGTAAGTTCCAGTCTCGTATCGTGAATACAACACGCATGCCTCACGTAGGTTCCAGTTTCGTATCACGGATACAACACGCATGCCTCACGTAGGTTCCAGTCTCGTATCGTGGATACGACACGCATGCCTCACGTAGGTTCCTGGCTCGTATTGTGGATACAACACGCATGCCTCACTTGATTAAGTTCCAGTCTCGTATCGTGGATACAACACGCATGCCTCACGTAAGTTCCAGTCTCGTATCGTGGATACAACACGCATGCCTCACGTAAGTTCCAGTCTCGTATCGTGGACACAACACGCACGCCTCACGTAAATTCCAGTCTCATATTGTGGTTACAACACGCATGCCTCACGTGAGTTCCAGTCTCGTATTGTGGATACAACACGCACGCCTCACGTAAGTTCCAGTCTCGTATCGTGGATACAACACGCACGCCTCACGTAAGTTTATATATTCACTGAAGCAAAATTACTTCTCTCAGCAAACAGCGTTCTAAATTCTTGAGTAAAGTAATACCCGTGTCGAAAGTACATCACATGTTAACCTTGAACTTGGTTAAACTACAGGGTCCGCCTTATTTATGGCACAGATGTTTGCTATTTAAAAATAAATTGGTTTCTAGGAGACTTTTCTTTTATAATGAAGCTTAATATCATCTATTAATTCATTTATTTTATCTATCAGAAGTCTAAGGTGTCTTTATTTACTATTATTTATGGTAGATAGAAATGCAATTGTAACACTTCATCAAAAGGGAGAGAGTAATTCAGTCATTGCAAAAAAGCTCCAAATTCGTCGTGAAACTGTGTGGAAGGTGGTAAAAAATATAAAATAAACTGGTGAAACATACAATCAACCTGGTCAAGGAAGGAAACGAAGTGTCCGAACAAAATTATTGATCAAAAACACGAGGGAGAAGTTGAGGAGAAACCCTCGTCGCTCAGCTGCAAAATTGGCTGCAGAAGCAGGAGTCAGTCTGACATCAATGCGTAGAGTCCCCAAAGATGACCTCAAAACCTCCCCTTACAAGATGCAAACAAAGCATGAACTAACAGACTTTCATGAACGAATGAGGCTCGAAAGATGACAGCACATTCTGGAGCCTCCGTCCGGTAGCGATCCGGGCGGGGGGGGCCTCTGCCGTTTGGCCTGGCCCGCGAGTGAGCCGGGCATCCGGTCGACGCGCAGGCCAGGGTACCCCCACGACGTAGACGCGGCAAGTCTCCAAATCATCCAAATTTCAGCCTTGAGACTAGCCACCGGCTGCCTCAAGATGGCCCCAATAGCCCATCTCCACCATGAGACCGGCGTCCTCCCCCTGTCCGCCCACCTGGACCTGGCCTGTGCTGAATTTCTCGCCAGCGCCCTCCAGCCTACTCATGCTTCTTTCAGCATCGTCTCCGCTCCCCCCGGAGACCGCCCCATGAAACCTTCACTCAAGACAAGATCCGGCCACCTTGTGGCGCCTTTCCTCGCTGACGGCATGATGCCCGACGGTGCCTATGGAGAGGCAAAACGCTCCCTCCGTAGGGAGATAGCCACCCGTGTTGCGTCGACGACCGTTAACAACGCTGTCCTCACAGCCCCACCACCACCGATTGCAGCAGAAAAAGCCTCGCTCCCTCGCCCTTACCGTTCCGCGCTATCCCAGCTACGCTCGGGATACTGCAGCTCCCTTGCGGCCTACACCCACAGGGTCGGACGCTCCCTTAGCGCCGCTTGCCCGGACTGCGGGGATCCCCTCCAATCCGTCCAGCACCTCTTTGCCTGCCTCGCCTTCCCCACGCCCCTAAGCGTCTCATCATTGTGGGACAACCCCGTGGAGGCGTCGACGTTCCTTGCCACCCTCCCTGCCTTCGCCCACCTTGCTCCTCTTCCGGTGCTGCCCCCCCGACCGCCACCAGAGCCTCCGCCCACGCGAGCGTGACGTTTGGCGCAAGAAACAACAACAACAACAGCACATTCTGGATCTCATTGAGGATTGCACGCTGCCCAACTTGGTGTTCAGTGACGAGGAAAAAATTGACATTGAACAAAGCATTAACCGTCAAAATGACAGAGTTTGGAGTCGAGATGGANATCGTAAACCGCATTAACGTATGCATCAATGGCTCGCATCGATAACTTGCATGAGTTAAATTTTGACGCTGGATAATTTATGAATGGTTCATGTAAGATTATGAACTACTTAATCATCGTGTTCACGAGTCTTTCGTTGCATGGCCTGAAGTTAAAAAGAAATAAATTGAACTAGTTCTTATTATGAGAGCATTCAGTTAGTATATTACTCACGTTAAACTGACATCCCACGCAAACGCATCAAAGCAAACTCTCCCAAATTAAATGATAATAAAAAGTGTGGGATGAGTTATTGGACTGAATCCCCAGACTTACCGCAGATTGCGGGGTTTTCATCTTCGTCGCCAGGGCAATCTTGTTGTCCGTCACAAAATGAAGAGGCGTTCCGGCACGTACTTTTGTTGCCTGGACTTGCAAAGTCAACCACACATGATCGCTGCCCCGCCCCACATGCTGAAATTTTGATTTAAGCTGTAACTTAATTTTTCAAACTTACGAAACTACTGTTTCATTTATTTTCGTCGTGTATACAATAAGGACGAATTATTTCAAATTTTGGAAGCCGTTGAACTAATTAAGTAGAAAGAAAACTGTGATATTTAAATGAAAAGTGGTAATAAGGTATTAATTGTACATATCATTATTTAGCAACAAAAATAGCGCAAATTAAGAAGCAATGATAGATACCTATTACCTCGTCCTCCTGACTTACTGCAATTTAGTTCGTCAGATCCGTCATCACAGTCCAGGACGGTGTCACAGACGAGATTAAAACTGATACACTTGTTGTCGCTGCTGCATTTGTGATTCCCATAACAATCTGTCAGCGATTGATTATATTGATGATTGTTATGTGGTTCATTACATAAATTTTGAAGACTAATTACGTCTGATGAAAGAAAGAGGGCCACTCATTTATTGCAAAGCTGTGCGAAATTATTTTTATGAGTCAAATCTTTCATTCTATTTAATGGCATTATGAATACTGCGACATTTAATGTGTTTAAAGTGTGAGCAGCTCAGGCCAAAAAATGTGAAATAAAAAAAACTTTTATATTGATAAATCAGCATTTTCTAATTAATTGCTCAGATGAGCTCGCACCCTTGGCCTCGCTATTTTTTTTAACATTTATTCCATATATCAATCGTTTCATTCATTATTTATTGATAAATTGCTCAGTGAGAGCATGAAAAAATTATATATGACAATTTTATTCATTACAGTTCAATAATAATTTGAATAATGGACTAACCACATAAGTTCCTATCTTCGTCACTGCCGTCCGAGCAGTCATTTTGGCCGTCACAAAGTACATCTTCAATAATGCATTTTCCATCGTTGCAAATCATTGCGGTGTCGCCAGCACAAACTGTGCCTTTCGTGGTATTCGTGCTATTCGTACAAACACCTGCACGGGCAATTAAAATAATATAACCTTGCCATGCTTCTACTGCACTGAATGTTGCTTTAATGGATTTATCAAGCAAGATTAAATTACACAAGACTGGGGCAACCATAGCACCAGCAACTCGGCTAACGGGGATAATTAAACTCGCAAATTATTGCGTAAAACATTTAAATTCCCATGAAAGTAAATTATGATTAAGAATTAATTATTTAATCTTTCTAATGGCATTTTCAATTCCAAACAATATGAAATTTTCCTTCATCGTTGCAATGCAATTATTAAATCTGTCCAAAAAGAGAGCAAAAATGAACAGTGAAACATGCCTGGCGTCACCAAGTCAGCTGGGTTTCCCTTGATAACAGATAACGTAGTGATGAAGTTTTCGAACTCAGCGCATCTCTCTGAGTCGTCGTAGCTTAGGGTGGCCACCAATCTAGCCCTTCTGGGAAATATTCTGTGGAGGACGAATGGAAGTATTTATTCGTTATCTGACATCAGAAGCATTACAAATCACACATAAAAAAGCATAGAACAAATTTTTAGCTTCAAATCTAGATTTCACAGAAAACATCACAAAGACCGAGGAAATGGTGGCAGGGTGGCTAAGTGGTTAAAGTGCATAGTACCAAAGAGGGTCGATCCCGCATGGCTCTGTTCGCCAGTTTCTAGTCGGCGAGGAGGCCGGACTGCTAAACAAAGTGAAATTGGAGAAGTGAGTTGGGCGTTTGAGACCGCAATAAGCTGTGAATGTTCTGTGATGTTAAGAATCGGCGACAGACCTACGGCCTAATAAACGCTGACACCGCTGTAAATGTGAATATCGCGAGTCGTCCGTTATAATAACATAATATAGCAGAAAATAAGCCAATTCTAAACTTGTTCTCAACATTGAAATATCAGGAATTTAAAAGCAAAGAAAATACCAAAAAATTCACCATATCTTAATAAGAGAAAACGTTTCGGAGTCCAGCTCCATCATCAGTTCATAACACAAAATTCTGTTCGAAAAAAGTTCAGTCCTAGAAACACAAATAAATCAATTAGTAAAGTAAATGCACTAAAAATAAATAGATAAGACATGAAAATAATGCTAGTAAACGTAAACGGCCTATCTATTTACTATTTCAAGAGGAANACGTCGGTATGACGGCACGCAATTTCTATACTAGGCTGGCTGAGCATAAGGGCAGGAGTTATAGAACAGGGAACCTACTTGCACATCCACCTCATTCTGCTGTACGTGTTCATGCCGAGCAGTGTAACACCTCTGTATCTGATAGTGATTTCAAAATTCTAGCTTCCGCATCCGGTGTTAGTGATCTACGAATTTTAGAATCCCTGTATATATTCAAACAGAAGCCTAGCCTGAAAGCCGCTTCCAGCTCCTTTCCTCTTGAAATAGTAAATAGATAAGCCGTTCACTAGCGTTAGTTTCATGTCTTCTTTATTTATTTTCCGTTTTGAAACCTGACAGTGCATTTTACTTTACTAATTGATTTATTAGTGTTTCTAGGACTGAACTTTTTCTGAACAGAATTTTGTGTTATGAACTGACGATGAAGCTGGACTCCGACACGTTTTCTCTTATAAAGATAAGGAGAATTTTTGTGGCATTTTCTTCGCTTTTAAATTCCTGGTTAACTTGCGATTCAAGCAAACAAGTGATTTTAATACATTGAAATATGTTTGGTAATTTTTGTCGTGAGCAGTTCCAAATCATTTTAAGACAGCCAGCTTGCAGTTTATAGATTACCGTCATCTGGGGTGAGATTCGCCCGAATTTAAATCATTGTATTAGTTATATTAACTCCATATGTTATGACCTGATTAACATAAATTCTCAACGTTCCTTATGTGAAGAAATTATATAAAATTAAATTACAACAATATTGAGACCCCTCAATCACTTTCCACTTAGTTCGTGATTTGTATAAATTTTTGTAACAAGTTTCCCCAATTCTAGCGAAAGTTGTTATGAAATTGCAAAATGACAGCATTTTGCAAATGACAAATGTAACACACAGAATACATGAAACAATTGCAATATTATTAGGCACTTACCTTTTACTAGCTTTTCAATATAATTTGTTTTTTTTGAAGTAAAAGTTTGGTATAAACAAATTTCACGATTTTCTCACTGGGAAGATGGAGCAGCTCTGGAGTGGTTGATAAATATGGAACCAAACCCAAAAATCATCAACAATAAACTTCTGAAGAATATTGAGTGCTGTATTACCTAGAACGAAAACTCGACTCATTATCACAATACAACACTGCAAGACTTCTTTTAACTTAGGGCCACTGAAAATCCTTGAAGGGCCACGGCATCGAAATAGTTACTTTATCACTATAACACGTTGTCACTGTTCAAAACTACAGGTGAACTTCGGAATTAGAATAATCATATCTAAAAATTTAGTTTATGTTCATCACTTCATGATACTTTTTTCAATTGAGATTGTTTGTTCTGAGCTGCTTCCTATTCATTGGTTACAGCACTGAGATTGTCTGACATTCGCTAGCAGAAGTTTAATGTTGTTCCAAACTTGCACCCGAGCAGGGCCAGATGTGTCATAATTATTATTGCACCTGATTTCCTTTTATGAATGCCTAAGATTTTGTTACTTATTT